TGGATGGGTTAAATGCAGAGCACTAATTCCTAGTATGGGTCACTTGGCCACATGTCACGTCACTTAACTTAACTGATAGGACAATATTTGGTCGAGATACAACTATTTGAAAATCTGGAATCTGAGGGTGCAGAAAAATCTAAATACTGAGAAAATCGCCTTTAAAGTTGTCCAAATGAAGTTCTTAGCAATGCATATTACTAATCAAAAATTAAGTTTTGATATATTTACAGTAGGAAATTTACAAAATATCTTCACGGAACCTGATCTTTACTTAATATCCTAATGATTTTTGGCATAAAAGAAAAATCGATAATTTTGACCCATACAATGTAGTGTTAGCTATTGCTACAAATATACCCCAGAGACTTAAGACTGCTTTTGTGCTCCAGGGTCACATATGTTCTTTTAAGTTGTGTGGACTTAACTCACAGCCATGTTTCTAATCTGGGATGAGAGTCAATCTGACATTCTGAACGCTTCTGTGTTGGTCGTCAGGAGCGGATCCGGAGAACCCAAGGAGGAAGGCCGTGACTCGAAGCCCAGATCGCTGCGCTTCACCTGGAGCATGAAGACCACCTCGTCCATGGAGCCGGGAGACATGATGAGAGAAATCCGCAAGGTGCTGGATGCCAACAACTGCGACTACGAGCAGCGCGAGCGCTTCTTGCTCTTCTGCGTGCACGGCGACGCGCGGCAGGACAGTCTCGTCCAGTGGGAGATGGAGGTGTGCAAACTGCCCCGTCTGTCTCTCAACGGCGTGCGCTTCAAACGCATATCGGGGACGTCCATCGCCTTCAAGAACATCGCTTCCAAAATTGCCAATGAGCTCAAGCTGTAAGCAAAGGGTTCCAAAAAATACACATCTATAGGGAACGCTAAAAAAAGGAATCTGGCCAAGAAGTTTGAGCAGCATTTTGAGTTACTGCTTCTGCTGTAATGTGTAGTAGAGAAAATATGAATGCGAAAAGAGAAAAAACGCCCTAGCCTGATCTTCATGGCCTCTTGATATACGCCTGGTTAAAACAACCATCTTGCAATAATATCGAAACCCTATCAGGGTCGGCAGGACAGGGATCTGTCGAGCGAATTATCGTAACAGACTTCAACCGACTTTTTCCATATGTACAGTTAAGATCTAGAATGTTTTTGTTGTATTGAATTAATGATAGAGTTGTATAATACAAGACTTTCAGCCTACTTGCGTGGAGGTGTTGTATAGTCACTATTGAGCTCTGTACAGAAAAATTATGTTCAATGTGTCATACCTGTTTAGTTGTTTAATTGTTGTTGTTTTTTTTAGATTTTGAGACCACTCAGTTTTAACAGTTTTTATTACTTATCAACATTTGTTTTTAAAGGGACCGTTGATCCAACAATGGGCGTTCTGTCATTTCAGTGTGGTCACAACAAGCCTGTGTGTTGTTGTTTTTCATTTCGAAGAATTATGCAGCTTTATCTGACTAATAAGCGCCAAAAATGATAAAACACCATAATGATACACTTTGTGTAACAATTCAAAATCTAAGTTGTTAATCACTGAAAATGTGCATTTAAAAAAAATTTAAAAATAACAGCATACATGGCAGGACACGAGGGCAAGTAAATAATGACAGAAGTTTCATTTTGGATGAATTATCCTTTTAATTCAGAGTGAGAATTAGATGTGATCATAACATCAGAATTAATGAGTAAGTGTTTTGTAGAGAAGGCAGTGAGTTTTCCAGATGCAGATGGTCAAATCGGCTAGAAATTCGTAAACGAACGTCGACATTAACATTCCATACAGAACATAGAGCGAGACTAACATCATGAAGCTGTAGTGCAGAAATCCTGCGGTGTGTTTGGAGCAACACTGAGCCGTGCGTTTTCCTTTGAAATCCAGAAACAAGACAAGCTTCAACTGTAACTCCAAGACTTTTATTTATTAAGCCATTTTATGCCTTCCTGTTTTATTAACTGTAGAAATTCATCCAGAGAATGCATTCCTTTTTTTTTTTTTTTTTTTTTCATAATTGGAGGCGTGGTGATCATTATTACTAA